ATAATGCATAGAAAGACATATTTTTCCTGATCTCTGCATTTCTGAAGTAGAACAGTTAAGCTATAAAGTACTTCTCTTGTGTCAAATCCTTGTCTGAAACCGAACTCTGTGGGGCTAATGTCTCTTTCACATTTATTGTATATTCTTGTGTGAATTATCTTTAAGAAAAGTTTTAGGATCTGGATTAATAAGCTGATCATTCGGAATTGGTCGCAACTATTAGCGTTTGGCTTTTTTGTGGTTGGTATAAAGGTTGATTGAAGCCAATCCTGTGATATTTGACCGGACCATTAAATGTCATTAAAAAGATCTACCAAGGCGTCTATATTGTCTTCACTCAATATTATTAGATCCTCTATGTATATGTCGTCTGAGCCTGGTGCCTGGACAAAACCGATGTCCAACTTAATCAAATCATGAGCAAACTCTGGAACAATAAAATCAATCCCAGTGAGATGACTTCATATATTGAGTAATACTGCTTCACCAGATATACGTTGTGCAGGAGTGTTAGTGGGTACATCCAGATATCCACCCCAACTCACTCAGCTTCATCGGATCAAATCTGCCCCGGCCCATCGAGGCGAGGATTAATCTCATATATACGGGACATGGTAAATATACTGACTAGCTGTTTAAATACGGCCGTGCGGAGGGTCCGCAGTTCGATTGCGGATCACCTAGACAGACCATCAACCACTGTGTTTCAGACTGTCCAAATCGTGCCTATCATGGAAACCTCCAGGACTTTGTGGAATGTTCTCCAGAAGCAATTGAATGGCTGTGTAAATAAGACATTAATATTTAGTTTAATTTTATTTTAGTATTTGTATACGTGTATTTATCGTACCGTTAAAATCCATACGTTAGATAAAATAAAATAAAACTTTAACATCACAATCAGCAGATGTTTTTGGGCTGTTTTTCGCGCATTTCGGTTCGCGTATAGAGCACTACTAGTATTCCACAGGCAGGGACTATTTTTATAAATATCAATAAATGCATAAACTCCTTTGTTTATTACAGAAGATATGCACTAGGTACCCAAGGTCTGTTTACGAAGAGATAGTCTATTCGTATACATCGATTAACACCAGAAATATTAGTGCAGATAGTAAAAAAACATTGTCGCTGACGCACTTAATATCTCAACATAATCAAAACCTCAGTAAAACTGAGACTAACATCTACCGTTCGAGATATCCGAATTATTGGAATAACTTCTCAAAGATTGGAAACACTTTTGATTTATCGTTTAAAATATATTTTTATAAACAGAGGAATAAAATCTTTTTAAGAGGCACACAATTTTCTATGAAAGAAAATACATATATTGAATTGAAATGATGTTAGTAGTATTTATGAAAAAACTGGAGCAAAGCATTTCTCAGAGGAATGGGGATTATTTAGAGACAGTTCAATAATAATTTATAAAAAGTTTATAAATATAACAAGCTTCCAATAATTTATATTTGCTGTTCGACACAAGCAAAACAAAACTATGAAAGTGTTAAAAAAAGGATATTGCTCTTAATTATTATGCTTACGAAGTATGTAGTTTAATATAATATGATTTTTACTAGAATTACAAGAAGGTTACACAAATCGTGTATATTTTCCCTTTTGATCTACCTCAAACTTTCAGGCTTGCATATCAGAATTAGAAGAAAAGTTTAGCTTGAGAAGAAAAGCACTTCACGTAGTAGGTAGTGAACTCATTTTTAGACAATAATAAATCATTCAATTATAGACGACTAGTGCATTACATATTAAAAAAATGTTAAAAAAGGTTTGTCGTATGTTTTTAAAAGTGAATTTGTTATCATTATTTTACTTTTTTCAGAAAAATATAGAAGAAATCAGTGGGAAAACACTTTAAAAGCTATAAATAAAAAAATAACAAAAAAATCGTTTGTTGCATAATAATTTGTAAAACAAAAACGATTAAACTTATTTCTATTTATGCGTTTAAGTAAATTATAAGTGTAAATTAAAATATATGATTATTCTTCTGATGCTTTATTTTTTATCACGTCTATTATAAATTTTACAGTGTAACTTAGCAATTAACAATGACTATTGTAAACCTAAATATAGTTTTTATCAATTGCTTTATTTTAAACAAATATTTATTGATTTCACTAACACATTCTTGTGATACCAGCATTGAAAGTATAAATTAATACCATATGCTATAAAGTTGTAAAATAGCTTAATTATGATTAAAAAAAGCAATCTTAAATATTAATACAATCCATCACTAATTCTCCAGTACCAAATAAGCGATCAAAAATTCGAGATAAAATCTGGGCTCATAATGCAGTTGGTCTAAATGTGACGTATTTACAAAGCTATTATTTATATAAATAACATATTAGTCATCAAAAAGGATACATGTACATTAAACCAAAATTTACTAGATAAATACCAAATGAGAACATAAGGAAAATAAGCATAAATATAAGATTTAATACGAAGATTGCTGTATATTCAAGTGAGTAAAAGTTATAAATGAAAATATACCTGTGTAATATTGACAGTACGGATGCGAATAGTAGATCCTGAGTCAATCAGTAATAAGAAAAATAAACCCCACTATAATGTTCTTTTTAAGAAGAACGTTTCAAATTTCGTGGACTGAATATCCAACTCATAATTCATTCACGACATCATTACTACAATTCCTGGGGGGGGGGGGGAGGTCAGAACTAAAGAGAGAGAGAGAGAGAGAGAGAGAGAGAGAGAGAGAGAGAGAGACTGTTCAGTTTCTTTTTCAATCTAATTGCTCTTATGGTTATTCATTCAAACAGTACTTCATTCTCTAAACAAGATAATTATGTGCTGTGTCCGTAGAGAATCCTACTCTATACGCTTATTGCCCCTTAAATATCTGACTTTGAACCAATATACTATACCTAATGTCCCTATTAGGCATTTATTTCTTTAGTCTTTAGTACAAATCACATCACTTTAGTTATTGATCTTAAGAACTTATATTTTCCTATTCAGTTTTGTGTGGTTTCATAATAATCATAATTTTGATTTTCAGGGATAATCAGACCCATGAAAAAAATCGGTCTTGGATGGGCAGCATATAAAAAACTGAGAGGGATTTTAAAAGTGAGCTGCCCACATAGCTGAAGAAAAAAGTATTTGATTAATGCGTCCTCCCAGTATTGACATACGGAGCGGAAACACTTACTCTAACAAGAGCCTCAGCTACCAAACTAAGAGTCACAAAGAGAAGAAGGAACGATTCATGTTAGGAGTAACTCTGCGAGACAGAATAAAAAAGAAGACGTCAGGAGAAGAACCAAGGTGACTGAAGTCATCTAAAGGATTGACAGACACATAGCTAGAATGACGAATGGGCGATGGACAAAGAGGTTATTGGAATGGAGACCAAAAGAAGACAAGAGAAGCCAACCACCTACACGATAAGCTGACGATTTGAGAAGAATCAATAAAAACTGGGTGAGAGTGGCACAGGATAGACGGGGAACACGAGAAAGAGGCCTAGGTTCAGCAGTGAACTTTTAAGCTAGATGATGATTTGCGTGATTTTGGTAACAAAGCTATCCATATAAGCGACCATGCTCTTTATATGAGTTACAGTACTAAGCTAGCTTGAAGTAGTATATTTACCTTTTGTACAAAAAATCATTTCCTTTCTGTAGAAATATTGTATAATTTTCGGCCGACCCGGTGATTTATATAGCTTAAATGAGTTTATTGTCTATTTAATTTCTTTATACCTACCAGGGGTTATATATTCAGTCCAATATTTTGCCATGTGTCTAGTAGCATCAAATTTGATTCGTACTCTTGACGAGAACTAAGTTCTCGAATCCATTTTGTAAGTCTACCATCGTTAGGTAAAGCCCATTAAATACCAAATTGGGTTATTTAAATTTTGTTTATAACTGTATGATCGAATTATAGGAAACGGGGAATGTCCTAACCGATCCTAAGCAGGCCGGTAGGAGGGAAACAGAATACCTCCCGCGAAACAAAATAGAATAACTCTGACAGAAGAGTCCCCGACCCTCGAGGTCGGGCGTTGGACAGAGGGTTAACATTTCACACCCGTGAACTTTGTTGTTACGAAAACTTTAGAATATTTAACCGGACGGATATTTTGGCAATGACCAGGCAAACGAAATAAGGTCAATGGCATTCATTTATTTACATGGAAAGTTTGTACACTCTACAGTGTAGACAAGCTAACTAGCTTATTAAAAACTGCGTGAAAACGCATTTGACATCACAGTTATTTATGAAGTCAGATAACTAGGTACTGGGAGTCTGAAGAAAAATGAGTACACCATCTATTAGAGCGGTCATAAAACCTATCACATTTTTGGCATAAGATTTTTCGGTACAAGTTTCTTTAATGACAGGATCAAAAATAGCTATTAAACCACATAAGATAAAGGAGATGCTGAGAAATATCTATTTAATAAGAAACTATAGAGTTCTTTCATACAATGTCAGAAGAAGAATTTAAAAATTATTATCGGTGATTTTAATCGTTAATTCAACCAAGAAACAATCTTTCACCCACAACTGGAAAGTATATTCTTTGTACGGCCAGAAACCAAAAAGCTTTCCCTGTCTGTAAAAGTATTGTATAAATCCCGTTCAATTTATACGGCTCAAATAAGTTTACTGCTCATTTGATTTTTTTACTAATTACGATTTTTTTGTCACACCCTGGAGGTGGTATGTTATTCAGTCCAAGACGAGAAGACAGAAAATTCTGAAAAGTTATTAGAGTCTTTAAAATTGTATAACCGAATGTACTTCAGATATTATTGGGATTAAATCTGTAATAAATGTATATATAATTAAATTGGATTAATCCCATGTAATGGGATAATCTGATACTCTAAAAAAAGAGTAGTATATCACTACATAAAATGGAGAAAAAGACGGAATATATCGTCATAATAATATGCGTAATAATTGTATACACACTCTATTTAATTAATATAACTTACCAAATAGTGCAGCCAAAAGTTGAGTTTTTGTTCCAGAAAATATCTCATTTTCCGCGCTATCCATTTTTATTCAAATAAAATACTGATCTAGACACAATAGCGACACACACTGAAACCAATAACAAATTGTAGATAACACCGGAGACATTAGATGTAAAAAAATAGTTACGGAGATCAAGTAATATCAATTCATGACAAGAAATGAAAGCGGTTACCCAAACTACTATTTTAAATACATTTCTTTATTTATTAATATTTGTTTTCAATAATCAGTCAATGATAACTTCTTGGTAATTACTCTTAACGGATAGCGGTGACAAATAATTATTTTGTTGTTTCATTTAGTGATGGAAATTAGAAGAGTACAACGGTTAAAATCTTTCGAGATTACTGATTTTTTTATTTCAATATAGTTTTAAAAGGTTATTGCCCACAAACATAAATTACCAATATATAACCAAATTATTTAATACTAATAATTAAACTTATGTCATATTTTTTTTAAATAAAATTTTAAAGGTGATTTTACTCTTAAAGTCGGTCCAGAAACAATATACCATCAAACTACTGGCGAGCATAGTCTTTACACGATTAGCAAGCAAAATGGTCTATTCCTGATTGATCTCACAGAATCGTAAGAAATAATGGTAGCAAGCACGTGTTTTCCACATAATAACATATACAAATCCACATAGTATTCTCCTCACAAAACACAAATCGATCATACTATTATTGGTAGTTAGCATTTCTCTGACGTATTAGATGTAAGAGTATGCAGAGGATTTGATATTGACTGAGATCACGTCCTAACCGGAACAAAACTCAGAGGCTATATATATTTAACTTTAATAAAGGCCACCACGGTACAAAAAGACAAAATACAACACAGATGCTCTAAAAACCTAAACAGTTTTGCCTATCGACGTGCAAACGCTAAGCAAAAACCTAGCAAGATTAATCAAAACCTATGCCTAGAGTGGAAAGAGGCAATATACACCACAGTAAAAGGTATTTTCAAATATAAGCAGGGTAAAATAAATGACACCTGGTTATATGAGAGTGTAAAGCCATAAATCTGCAAAAAAACGAAGAGTATAAAAGATTTCACCAGCGCAGAATGCCGGTTAACCTTGGCAGATTACAACAATCTTAGACGCGTAGAAAAGAGAACCTTTAGAAGAATAAAAGTAAAAAGATACAGCAGTGTCAAAACGCTCCGATTATAATAATTAATTATTACACTCTAAAAGACTCATAAAAATTTTACCAACACATATTGTAAAGTTGAGTGCAGAAATGATGAAACGGTTGCTGGTGTGAGCACATATTCATGAATGTTAGGAAAATAAATCTTCTATTCACAATCTGTAATAGGATTGTATTAAAATTATAAAGTTAGAGACTGTGCTACCGATTTTGCTGTTTACAAACTTTTATAACCTTTTACTGTATCTTCAGCCCTCAAAAAACTAAGGATATCAGTACAAGTTGTATTGATACATCTTGATAATATCCTTAGTTTCTAGGCGGTCTGAATTTACCAGTAGCCCAATCTCTACCTTTTTAATTTTAATAAAACATATAAAAATGGAGATATATAACGGGCTAAGTGACAAAAACACACAATTTAGAAAAATGAGTTTTTTCATCAATTATAGTAAAAATACCAAAAAAGTTAAAAAACATGTTTATTACATAATGTTTCAATATGGTTTACATAGGTCAACAATTTTGTTTCATATTTTATTATAGTTACCTATGACAAAAAACATCTCTAAGTTTTAAAAAGTAAAACAACGTATATCAAGCAATGTTTCTAAGACTTTATTTAAGACTCATGTAAATAAAATATGGCAAGAAATATAGGATCAAACAAACACAAATCTTAAAAATATCAAGCAGGAGTATCCTCAAAAAAATCTTGGTAAACCACCAAAACGAAAAGACCAGGTAATTATCAGCAGACTCCGACTTGGGCATACACGACTTACACACGGCTACATAATCTCCAAAGAACCAGTACTAATGTGCCAAGGATGCCAAACACCTTTCACAGTCAATCATATATTAATAGAATGTCCAGAGTACACCTCAGCCAAGGCGATATTCAAGATACCCAACAACCTGAAAGAAGCACTGGTTACAAAATTCAATGAAGTTCTGCCTTTTTTAAAATACTGTAAACTCTATAATAAATTGTGATTTAATTTTTGTTACATTTACATACATGTACATAATACCATATTGTTGTAAGTCATGACTTTTAAAATGTATCTTATTTTCTCTATTTGTATCATAAACCTACCGCTAATAACCCTAGTGGTTGATGCGGATAAATAAAAATAAAAAAAAATAAAAAACAATGTTTCTCTACATAATGCGCCATGTACAGAAAAATATTCTTATACAATAAGTCATGTGTATATGTAAAAATTTCATTAATGGAAATTTGCATAGTATGTTTAAACAGTTAAATTATGTTACATCAGCCATTTAATGGAGGTAGTATATTAAACTATCATAAAAATACTTGATACTTGCATTAATTAAACTGAATAATTATTTATAAAAGTATGTTAAAACATTAAAATATTTTATTCTACCAAAGTCTCATAAAATACTTTATTTTCATTTATTAACTAGTTTGAAACACCCCTCAAATCCTTTTCTTTTCCGCAGTCAATCTGCTTCTACATTCGATTGAAGTCAAATACGATGTCAAGTTTTCGTTGTAATGTTTTTCTTGAATACTTCCTTTCCTCTACGTTATTCTGGTATTTTGGCCATAACCTATCCGGGTTTAAATTTTTAAATATTATTAATTGCACTGTAGAAATTTGCACATTGTTAGTAGTAATCGTGCTTTCAGCTACTGATTTAAAATTTAAAAAAATCTTCATTTTCCATTATGGAAATAAGGATGCTCTAGCCTTGCTGATATAATAACTCAGCAAATCTAGTGACACCTCAAAATGTGACACGTTATCTTTTTCCTATCTATGCGAAGTCTGTGTCAAAATTAAAAAAAAAAAAAACTTTTTTTTGTCTTCTTTTTTTATGAGGGTGATCCAAATGTTCGAAACATACCTCGGTCCTAGAAGGTGGGCATAACCGCCTTTCAGCCTCGGTTATGCAGGACTCATCCAGCGTGGCCACGATGATATCCGAGGCGGTGCGCTAGGGTTGTTCTTTAACTTAACAAGCGCGCTAGCCCTTTCTCAATACGGCGGAATTCTTTTCTCCCTCTATTCCTCTCTATTCATGCAATTTCTTACCCCTTCTCATTCTGCCTTATAGTCTTGCTTGGTCCTGGGCACCCTGCCTACCTTCGCTTTTCTTCTTGTTCATTTTTTTATAAAGTTTTTCTTACATATCTCTGAACTACTCTCCACCGATTTGACGACCTAAGCATCTCCTCCACCAGTTCCGTTACTGATTGCACCCTACTTCCAGCTCTTTCTCAAGCAGGCTCTTCTCAACTATCCATTTATCGCATACCAATAGAGTGTGTGAGACAATGTCCAATATTTCACAATACAGGCATTTGTCATTTTATGCCTTTTCAAATCTGTAAAGGTATGCCCAGAAGTAAACATGTCCTGTGAGCATCTGCGTCAGGAAATAATCCAAATGCCGGTGCCCGCAATCCATACATATTCTCAGATTAGAAGTCAACGACTTCGTCCACTGCGCCACCCTTCTCATCTCATCCTATTCCTCTTACCACACCATTATGGATCTTTTATTTTCTTCTTTTTTAAAACGTTGTGTTGCTATGTCTGCATTTCTTCTCTCGTATATTTTTCCTCTTTCCTTCACTAGCAGGTGCATCGGAATACACCCAGTGATAACGCCTTGGCGTTAGGAGACTGTTCTGTATGCATACACCACCCTCAATATACTCTTTCTATTTGCTCGGGTAAGCTGTTTTCTGTACGCCTTTCTTAAAACTGCAGAATCGCAGACAGTCGCAGCGTAGAGGACAATCGATTGCACAACAGAATGAAGGGCTTTCCTCCTCTCAGTTTTGGGCCCTCCGATGTTAGGCATGATCCCTCCTAATGCGGCGAATCTCACCTCAGCACTTCGTCATCGCTTTTACGTGTTCCCCCCACTTTCCGTTATGACTCAAAATCACCCCTAAATACGTCACGCATTTCTTTGGAACCACTCTCTTTTCTGCACATTCAAATACTATCCCGTCCCTTGTCCTTGGTCCCTTGGGAATTATAGCCTTGGTCTAACACGCAGCCAGTTCTAGCTTATGCATTTTCATCCATTCCTCAACTTGGTTGCATGTACGCTGTGCACTAAAGATAAGGTAGTCCCTGTCCCGCACCACTACCAGATAAGCGAGATCGTCCGCAAATGAAAATGGGGTTACCCCCTCTCCAAATTGTTGGCTCACAACCCTGTAATATGCCAAGTTCCACAGCGTGGGTCCTAGAATCCACCCCTACGGCACTCCAGCCGTCACGGCAACCACTACTTCTTTTTCTACCACAATTTTTCTCTATGTCAAATAGTCGGAGACCAAATTAATCAAGTACCTCGGACAACTTCTCTCTCGTAAAGCCTTTATTACCTCTTTCCATTTTAATATGTTGAAAGCATTTCGGACTTCAAACAACAATAGAATTGCTCATCTTTGGTTAACCCTCACCCCGCATAACTCCCGAAAGACTTTCATCAGCGCATCCACCGTGCTCCTCTTCTTTCTGAAACCGTACTACCTGGGGGGCAGCCCGCCTGACTCTTCAATCACTGTGTCTATTCACCCTCTTAAAAGCCTCTCGTATAATTTACCTATGCACGACAGAAGGTAAACAGGTCGATATATGTCTTACCCCTTTGGGAGTAGCACGAGCTTCCATATCTTTCAATTTGCCGGAAATCGCTGAGTTTCAAGCAGTACATTCATGTGGTACAAAAGCTACGTCGGCTCCATACTGCCAATGCGTTTCACCGCTTCTGGTGATATTCCATCGAGTCCCGCAGCCTTTCGTGTCTTTAGGCCACTCTACGCTTCGTTCAGTTCGTCTACGGTAATAGGTACAGCTCGCTCAGCTTCGGCATCCCACTACACTCTATGCCAATGGCCGGGTTGATGGTACTTCTCTTCTACCTCTTGCCTTCGTAGCCTGTCTTCTGATGGCAATGCATTCCTTCTTCTTGTTGGCGATCTCTTCGCACCATCAATA